ACAGTGCCATTTTTCAAACACTGCCAAGGCCTTTAGGTGAGAATTATTGGCACTAAATTGTATTTGGTGAATAAAACTGTATTAACAGAGGTTTTCCTGTTGTATATTTGATATATTTACTGCAGTCAGGAAGCAGTAAAACAAAAACACATCAAAACATTTAGCCCTACAAAAGACAGTTTTATTGCATGTAGTTTGTTTATTTTATAAACACGCCGTAGTTTAACGCAGCAGGACTGAACCGAGGTTGTAAAAGTCTGTTACTGCTCTGTCTCTGCTGCTGCTGCTGCTGCTGCTGCTGCTGCTGCTGCTGCTTGGAATAATGTCATTAACAGTGCATAATAAATGGAGCCAGACGTCCAGATACAAAGTAAATTTACACTGGACCTCAACCTGGCTCTTATTGGTTGATTCAGTTATCAATCAAACATGCTGACCACTTAAGTTTTGTGATTTGTTTTGTGGTTTGTAATTAAATTTACTTTTCAGCTGAGAATAGCTGTGTTTTAGATTAGAGTTGGCTGTGGATGTGTTGATGTGGGGAGGTTTGAATCTGGTTGTATCTAAAAAAACCCAAAAAAACAGGACCACCACGGCCTTGAACTCACCACCTAAATCAAACGAGAGCTTGTTTGTGTGACTTTTGCAATTTACTGAGCTTCTGAGCAGTTTGGAACTAAACAATAAAAAAACATATCATTACAAGTGCTATGCAACATGTACCAAGATACTACAGTGTGTATTTTTGCCCTGACGTTAACAAGGTGACATACTGCAGTTCCTTTAAGCCCTCACTCACTTGATTATCCTTCTCCCCACTTTATCCATGTCCACGGGGGCAAAAAACCTGGAGATTAACCCCTCCCTAAAAGCTGATCTGGCCTCGCCAATGCTCGGAACAAATTTGTGTCTGTGTAATGCCATAGGAACAGCAGTCAACACACGACAGCTGAGCCAGCCCGGCTTTAAAATGGCTAAAGAGTAGCTCCAGTCTGGGTTACTACAGCAACTCCGGGGGGTGATGTGGAGGGGGTTGATGCACATGAAGGGAACGTTGGAGCTTTATGTAAATAACAAAACAAAGTGGTGTTTTTTCAACAATCCAGGTGCAGTTGTCGTTGTACATCGTGGCAGTCAGGCAGTATTATTGACTTTGTGGGGAGTGAAAATGACTTGTCCTTCACACGACTCCTCTCTCCAACAACAATTAGACCAAAACATCCAGAGATAAATGTTTATGTGCTTCAAACATCTTTCAGGTCTCTGCTCCACATTCGCGGTGTGCCACGTGGACTCTGTGACTCCGCTGGAGGGGATGCGTCCGTCCCATGAGACCCATCATCTCATATTCTGTCAAGGTACTGTGTTGGTCCCTAAAGACATTACACCAGCGTCATGTAATAAATACTCTATGTCCTAGTTCCAAAATTGTCCAATTTATGCTGAAATTCAGCACCGAATGTAGTGTCACAGTTTTAGACGCTTGATTTTTTTTCATTTTAAATCAAATATTAATTGTTGTTATATTTTATATTTATTTTAGATATTTTGTAAATATTTTTGTTTATTTTTTTCCTTCTGTGGAAAGATGTTTTAGGGTTAAAATAATATAGATATAAATAAAAAATATGTGCAGTCAGGCCAAAAGCCAGAAAAGGAATCAATTATCTGTGGTTGTGGTCAAGGAAAAAGTCCAGCAGTTTTTTCTTTCTGTCTGGGTTTAGAGTTGAACTCCTGCCACCTTCTCAGTCTCTGGTTAATATTATTTTTTTATCTTAAATTTAAAGGGAAATGATACAATTAAAAAATACCTACAGGGGGCAGCACTCCTGTAGGTAAACAGACTATAAACTAAATATTTTATTGCCAATTTAAAACAAGTAAAACATTTATTTTTAATATATTAAAAATATAAATACTATATATATTTTTAAACTTGTATATAACAGCTTTATATTATTATTATTATTTTTTTGCTCTCGTTTTCTGTTTCTATTCTCTTCTGTTTAATACATCCTGGAATAACTTCCATTTTGAGCAGACGGAAAAAACCACACAAAAAAAAAAACTTCACAGAGAAAACATCAAGTATAGATGTTCCATCACTTCCACCCTATCACACACTTGCAGCCCGTGGTGGTGAAGGGTGGGACTTGTGTTTCCATGCTGCTGCTGCTGCTGGTGATGATGATGACAGATGGTGATGTTGCCTGTTCGGGCAGCAGACACTGCGTTTCAGTCTGTAGCTGACCTGCACCAGGCAGCTGCTGCTGCTGCCGCCGCTGCTTCACCGCTGCAGCAGTGTTTCCACCTCTGAGATCCGGCTCCGGAGCAGAGAACAGTTCGGAGGCTGAGGGGCGTTTTTCGCACACGGGATTTAGGAAAAAACAGAGAGTGAAACACCAGCTGCATCCATCGCGCATCATCTTCCTCGGAGCTGCGGGTCTGGATCAGGAGCTCGGAGCCGTGCGTGCGCAAAGGTGAGAGACATGTGAGGATTTTAACGTGTGATGATGCGTATTTTTGGTACATGCGTAGTTTAATTCTGTGATTTCCGTTAGGTTCGTCTGGTTTCAGTGGTGTATTTTAAAGAAAAATTGATGTAAAACCTTGTGGGGTTTTTTTTTTTTTGCCCTGGTGGTGGTCATCGTGCAGCGCATGTTAAGGGACTGTTTTACAGCCTCAGCATAAAAAAAGCTCGCAAACTAGAAGGCACTAGATCAGCATCATATACACTAGAATTTACCACAGGTCGTCAGACACCGTTTGCAAGGACACTGAGCTCTGCAGTCACTCCATACACAACTGTGATGATAAACCACAACTGAGTGTCGGATATTTACAGATAAATAAATATCTGTGTTTAAATCACCTGATAAAAAAATAAAATAAAAAATCAAACAGTAAAATAACGATTAATGATACTGTGTTTAAATCACCTGATAAAAAAATTAAACAGTAAAATAACGATAATAAATGATTAGTGCACCACACCTCGGGATATTAAAAAAAAAAAAATTAAATCCTCATCTAATGATCATGTCGTTTGATCTGCAGCCTTGACATTTCACTCCACTGTCACAGCGGCTCCAACTAACAATATAGTGTTTCATTTACATAACCTGCAGCATCAGTGGCCAGAGCTGAGAAAGAGAGAGAGCGAGAGACGCTTAAAAATGTGAGTGGCGGCCGTGGGCTGCTGGGACTGATCTGGCAGATTTGTATGAGATAAAGACACTGGGGGTAAAAAAAAAAAAAACACACACAGACTGTCCGTGGTTTGTGCTCAGAAGTTGGAGAAAGCTGGGATTAATAAATCTGCAGTGCTGGGGGTCACCTTCTGCTCCAACGGCACAGCACAGCGCACACCTGTTACCATGATGGAACATTCACAGAGATCGCGTGGAGGTGAAATCATTATCTAGTGAGAAGTTATCTTTTTTTACTTTAGTTAGTTTTGGTGAGATTGTTTTTCCTGGTAATTTATTATTATTATGATTAACTGGTGAGTTTTTGTGAAAATTTCTCTGTGCAATATCATTAATTGTTGCATTAGTGTTTAAGTAACAATAATATTTATATTTATGTAATTAATGCGATAAATTCCCCTGATTTAATTTTGCCAAAATGAAGTAAATGCAGACAATTGATCCAGATGTCCCTACTGATATGAGAGAAAAGAGAGAGGCTGAGACCCCCCCCTCTCCCTCCCTCCCCCTCCCTCCCATCCTCACAAAGCACTCAGTGACTTCTCTGCTCAGCTATGGTAATGTTGGAGTGTGAGAACACGGGGAAACAAAGACTTGTCTCGGTTTTGTCTACGTGTGTTTGGGGAGGAGCCATTGTGAGCCTCCTCTGCAGCATGTGCTGCTGCTGCTGGGATTCCCACAGCAGTGGAGAGGAGACAGGGGTGCACCAGGTTGACCTTCAGCCCTTTGTTGTGACAGAGTCAGCTGTTTTGTTGTCCCGTGTTAAGTCTGTCACGAGTCTGAAATTAGTTTGTAGTCCAGGTGGAGAACAGGGTTCAGGGAAGGTTGGTGCTCTGAGAAAACATGTGCTGTAAAAAATGTAGAATCTGGACAAAATGTAGAACCAGGGACAAAGACAACGACAAACTACAGAGGTCAGATGAGCACAGTTCTGTCAGCAGGTGAATCAGTCACATGTTCAGGTTTGAAGAGAGAATTCAAAAGGATCAGGATTAAAAGAAAGGATAGGTTTGTGTCTCAAAACTTTGCGTCAATTCAAACGTTGTTCTCCAGTGGGAATGTTGGCCTGTCACCAGCCAACAATACTGAACTGTTCTGCACATTCATGCCAAGGTCAGAAATGACCGCTAAATGTGCTTGACCCTTGACCTTTATTGCTATGGCAACTGCCACCCTTCTGTGGTTGTCATGGGATAGAGACCCACTGTTCATACGGTTCAGTTGTTCTTAAACTGTGCTTGTGAAGATTTAAACGTATCCTGGCTGCTAATGCGGTCCAGCAGTGACCCTGTCATGTATGGTAAACTGACATGTATGTGAAGGTGACAGGCTGATATTTGAATCTTACAGAGATATAAAGTATTTTTGGACTTTTCTGCAGGACAGTCCAGGTCTAAAAGTACATCAGTTTCCCTGGGGTTCAGATCTGTTTCCATTGAAAACGTCTGGTGCGACTCAGAGGACAACCAGACGAGGGTGACCTCAACAAACTTTTCTTTTGAACGTAGCCACAACAAGTTTATTTTCTTAATTTTTCTTCCCCTTTTAAGTTCCTATTTATTAAGTATGTGCACGTATGTCACATTTACCCCAAGTTTCTCCCCACACTTTAGCCCTTGGGGGGGAGGGGGGGGGCAGACTCTGTGCCCTCTCAGTGCTCATCTGAAGCCTTAGATAAATGGGGAGGGATGGGTCAGGAAGGCCATCTGGCTTAAAGAAGAAAAAAAAAAACTGTGCCAAATCACATATGCAGGATTATCTGCTGTGGAAAATCCCCCAAGAACAGAAGAGCGAAAAAGTGATTTGTCTTCATCTTAATTCTCTGTGGCCAAGATTTTCAAAGGCCTCGGGGCGAACACAGAGACCCAGCTGATTATAAAGTTATAAAGTTTAACCTTTTATGTAAAAATTGAAACTTCACCTATATTTTAGTTCATTAAAAAAAGAAGAATAGACAAATAGTAATTGAAATGTTCTGCTGCAGCCTGATGTGACATGAAATCCATCCCTAAATATTCCATTAGCAGGTGTTTTATTTAGCAGCAGTAAATGGATGAGTACTCAGTTCTCTGCCCTTTGACCGAGTGAGTGAAAACACAAGTAGGTCAGAGACACTGTTATATATGGACGTGAACAACAAAAGCTTTAAATGGTTCCATGTTCTGACCTTCTGGTGTTGTTCTGGGAGGACCTTTATTTGTCCTGCGGTAGACGGATCTATGTTCTGTCTCACAGCAATATATGAGCAGAAATATAAAAATAAAAAACTGCAGATTCAATAGTTTCAGGAATATATACAGAAATGGACAGAATTTTAGAAAATATTCCATTGGTTACAGCAGTGGATCCCAAACTTTTTTCTGCAGTTTTTCTTTTCTCATATGTAGGTACAGTTCTGTGAAACTGTTCATTGTTTCACAGCTATTGTTCCAAAACTCTATTTTCTATGTATTAAAACAGTGTTTCACAGACTTTTTTTCTGGGGACCCGTATTTTAAAAGTCACAAAACTAGACATAATTTGTAAAAATCCTGGGAAACATAATGTGAGACGACCCCAAAATAAATCTTTTGGGACCCACCTGAAGGTCACGACCCAGTCTTTGGGTACAACAATGTATTAAAACACTAAACTACTTCCAAATAAAAACAGAAATTCTCTTACGAAAAAAAAAGTGATTTTTTTTTTTCCCCACTCTGGCCCACACCCCACAGGGAGAGTGTGTTCAAGTAATGTACGCAAATGACATCAGTACATCACGGAGTAGTACTCTTTAATACAGCAATACAGTCGTAGTAAGTACTTTGAAGTGACAGCAGTAATAAAAATCTGTGCCTCTCAAAGCGACTCAGTAGCTTCAAGAATATTCTTGACTCCGCGGCATCGCGGCTGTCTTTAACCCCACGACATCATCCTCTCAGCGTCTCCACGACATCTTGGATTTTTACAGATGTTCACCTGCAGTCAGAGAAGGAGAGGAGAACAAAAGGGAAGACGTATTTTTACAGATGTTCACCTGCAGTCAGGAGAACAAAAGGGAAGACGAGGTGGAGGAGAATTACTGCGTCCATGTTCACCTCGGTTCCACGGGGAAATAAGGACGCCGTATGGATTTTCAGTAGAAAAAGACAGTGACGGTTAAAGAAAAATCTGAAACTGACACGCAGGTGTTTTTTTATTATTTTTTTATAATTCAATACACACTATTGGATTTTCTTATTGTACCTCTGCTCCTGATGCTCCTGCCATTCAGCAGTTTTGTCCCACAGCTACAGCCCTCCATTATCTTCTGCCTTCACTTTCTCCTCCATGCACATCCCTCTCTGCTGCTCTGCACTTCTGCCATCAGTAGCTGCATCAAAGCCTTGTGTGATCTTTAGTGAGATGCTTGCATACTAATGCAGAGGTTGAGGGCTGCTCAGTGCAGCTAGGAAACTGAGAAAACATCAGGAAACACTACACATTATTTTGTTTGTTTTTTTGTTTTTTTAGAGTAGATTTAGACTAAAACTGAAGTGTCTCTGTAAACTTCAGGGTGAAAACTGTGACGTTGTGTGACCGCTGTGTAAAATACGCCAGTGTGTATTGAAGTAAATGGATGATTTTCGTATGGAGGGGTAAAAAAAAAAAAAAGCTGCTATTTTGGTCGGTGCTGTTGCAGTCGCACGCCTGGAATCACTAATGGCCGTCTTCTGATGTCTTCGAATGTCTTCATTTTATTATGGAACACACTAGCTGGTGGCATTACCGTTGCCATGGTGATAGCATGTCTGTGAGCCTGTTGTGTGGCTGCTGATCCACAAACACTTCTTACATTTTTCCCCCCAGTGGAAAGCCTCGGAAATCCCCAGGGCTAAATCTATGAAAAATGATTCCCACTGTCTGCATCACTGCAGCAGCACTGCATTAGGAGAACTGTGATTAAACTGTTGGAGGACGCTCGTTTAAGAATGTAATTAAAATTTGACAACGTTATGTTTTAAGATCTTTCTTACTGGAGAGCAGTTTCCTAAGGAAGATCTGTCTGTTTTTGTTTTTTAAATCACTTTTCTTTTCTTTTTTTTAATCGTTTTTCAGTCCTCGTTGCTTTTGGTCAAATCCCCCTGGTGGCCTCTATTTCATTACAATTTCTTGTTTTGTCTTCAAATCTTTGAGACATCATTTCTGACGGGGGTTATGGTCAAAGCCAGGGCAGTTGATGAGTGTTTTTTAGATGTTTTCATTCTCAAAGAACCGACACAAATTGAATTTGGCCCAGAACTAATCTGTAATGATCCTATTTTTCTAGAGATGATGGAATTGTTTTTGTAATTTTTTCCACAATGAATTATCAATCTTGGGTCTAGTAACAAAAGTTTGTCTCCCTGTGATCCCCCTGAGAAATACCTTAAAACTTAACAAAAAATAAGTTGAAGCCAACGTGTAAAACGTGTTCAATAATTTGTCAACAACATCCAGCTGGGAATTGTGGGTAAAATCCGGTGCGTAGTTTGTCCCTCGGCTTTAGGTAGATTAAAGGCCTACGGTAGTACTGCGCAGTATTACAGTATCTGATACTGTTGTCGTCTTAGCTTAGCGACTAATATATAATATACAGAAAGTACTTCTCAAACTAAACGACAATGACAGTTTTAAGGAAAACCAACCAGGATGAATCAGGATTATTCCTGATAAATCCACAGTTTCCCTCTCATGGTTTGACAGCCCGACATAATTGAGAAACAACTGTGAAAAACAAGATCATGTTTCATCAGATAAACCACATTCAGCCGCCAAAAAAAAAAAAACTGTGATTGTAAAGCGAGGCAGGAGAAGACCATATGTGCTCAGCAGACGCTCCTTAGGTCACAGAGGTCGATACCTTCCCACCGCCAGGCGTCGGGGACTCGATGCAGATCTCTGACGGTGCTGCCAGTCTGTTGAAAACCTGGTGCCAGGTGTCGGTCGGTTTTATGGCCGCAACGTGATCGCAGCGATTACTCCACCTGTCTCCTCCAAATTAATGCTTGAGCAGTGTAACACACAGAAGGGGGGAGGGAGAGGGAGGGGGAGGGTGAGAGAAGAATGTACAACTGAACGTAACTTAATAATGATAACACTTAATACTTCCATAAGTGACTTAACTCCAAAAAAAAGCAGTTTGATTTACAGGAGACGTAGGTGTTTTTTCTGGCAGAGGATTCGACTCCATCAGCAGCTTTTCTTTGCGTCTATGAATAGAGCAGCCAGTGAAAGTGTGAAACCCTGCTGTCACACTTCAGCCACTGAGGAGATCAGTTAGAGTGTGACCAGGTTACTGCAGGCAGCCTTTCTAATTTTAGACAGCTCAGGGATATTTTTTTTTTCCTTCTGTGGCATGTTTACCTTTTCATACTATTGTACGTCCATGGTTTTCTCTTTGTATTTTACTGTAAACGTAGATGCAGCAGAATTCTGAGTCGTCACCTGAACTGACGACCCATGAAGAAGGAGGGGAAACAGTATGGAGCTGTTTTTATATTTCACGCTAGAGCAGCCTGGGACATTTGTGATGTGAAACACAACACACACAGGCAGAGGGGGAGAGACGGAGCAAACGCTCAACTTGAACAAAATTAGGCCACTCAGGGGCAGAACGTTGACCTCGACATTAGGGGAGATGCAGGTTCTCACGCGTGAGCGTGGGTTTTCTCCGTGTTCTGGTGTTTCCACAGTCCAGAAACACAACTCATAAACTCTAAACTCTAAAATCAGTGGTTCTCAAACTGTTTGGGTCGTTCCACACTTCATAACGTCATATTTTGTGTAACGAAAATATGTTCAAAAAAGTTGTTGGATCTTCTAGAACAGGGGTTTCAAACACACGGCCCACCGGCCAAAACCGGCCCACTTGATGAATTTTGAAAATAAGAAATTACACAAACACTTCATGTTAATAATTATAATTTTTGAATTAATAATAATAATATATACTTATATAGTGCATATATATATATATGTATATGGTTAATAGGTGGGTCAGTCAACGACCCCAGGGTCCCTGAAACTGCCCCCTGCTGACTTTGGTGATGGGTAAATGTACAGTAGTTGACTTTCCTTCATACTGTATATATCTAACTGCCTCATTCTGTGTGTTCTTCCAGGACTGATGCTCATGGTGTTGACGTCAGGTGAAAAGGTGACGTTTGGACCAGATGTTCTCCAGGGCGACCTTCTCCACAAAACTCTCCTTCAATTAATTATCGCCCCTCATTTAGGAGGTCAGAGCAGAAAACCAGCGGTGAGGGAGACTAATGTGATCCTGCCTTCTTCTTCTGCGTCTCCTGTGATCACTGCCTCCCCTCCGAGCTGTCTGTGAGCAAAGAGACAAAACAAAATGACGCTCCTCTCACAGCCTTGGCTGCCATTCATTTGGCTGTTCGTCGGAATGCTCTGCGTCTCTACGTCCACCACCGCCGCCGTCAAAGAGTGTCCAAATTTGTGCGTGTGCGAGATCCGCCCGTGGTTCACGCCCCAGTCCACGTACAAGGAGGCAATCACAGTGGACTGCAACGACCTGAGGCTCACGCACATCCCCACCAACCTGTCGACCGACACCCAGGTGTTGCTGCTCCAGAGCAACGCCATTTCACACACCAACGGGGAGCTGGAGGCCCTGTTTAATTTGACCGAGTTGGACCTTTCTCAGAACAACTTCAGTACTGTGGAAGCAGTGGGCCTCAGAAGCATGAACCACCTGACCACTCTGCATCTGGAGGAGAACCAGATCAGTCAGCTACCGGACAACTGCCTCGGGAACCTCTCTAACCTCCAGGAGCTCTACATCAACCATAACCAGATCAATACCATCTCTGCCCGAGCGTTTGCGGGCCTGCACAGCCTGCTGCGTCTCCATCTTAACTCCAATAGGCTCCACGTCATAAACAGTCTGTGGTTCGAAGAAACGCCTAACCTGGAGATCCTGATGATCGGAGAGAACCCGGTCATCGGCCTCCTGGATATGAATTTTAAGCCTCTGGGAAGTTTGAGGAGCCTGGTTTTGGCCGGCATGGATCTCACCGATGTACCGGCAAACGCCTTTGTGGGTTTGGACAACCTGGAGAGCATTTCTTTTTACGATAACAAATTGGTCCAAATCCCACAACTGGCTCTGCAAAAAGTCCCAAATCTAAAGTTTTTGGATTTAAACAAAAACCCAGTGCACAAAATCCAGGAGGGTGACTTCAGGAACATGCTGCATCTGAAGGAGTTGGGCATCAACAACATGATGGAGTTGGTATCCATCGACCGCTACGCCCTTGACAACCTACCAGAACTGACAAAGCTGGAAGCCACAAACAACCCCAAACTGTCCTACGTTCACAGGTTTGCCTTCAGAGACCTACCGTCCTTAGAGAGTCTGATGCTGAACAACAACGCCCTCACTGCCCTTTACCAGCACACCGTGGAGGTGCTGCCCAACCTGCGTGAGATCAGTTTGCACAGCAACCCCTTGCGCTGCGATTGTGTCATTCAGTGGATGAGTTCTAACAGAACGACAGTTCGCTTCATGGAGCCTCTCGCCATGCTGTGCAGCTCCCCGACAGAGCTCCGAGGTCATAGGGTCAGAGAGCTGAGGTTGATGTCCTCGGAGCAGTGCCTCCCCCTCATCTCCCAGGACACCTTCCCCAGCCACTTGAACCTGGAGCTGAGCATGAGCGTCAGCCTCGACTGCAGGGCCATGGGGGAGCCAGAGCCCGAGGTCTACTGGGTGACTCCTCTGGGGAACAAGATCACAGTGGACGCCGTGTCGGACCGTTACCATCTGAGCAGCGAGGGGACCCTGCGGGTGAGTCATATGCAGGTGGAGGACTCTGGCCGTTACACCTGCGTGGCCCACAACGCGGAAGGTGCCGACACACGCGTGGCCACCATCCGTGTGAACGGCACGCTGCTGGACAACGCCCAGGTGATGAAGATCTTTGTCAAACAGACCGAGTCGCACTCCATCCTGGTGTCCTGGAAAATCAACTCCAACGTCATGACCTCTAACCTCAAATGGGCATCGGCCACCATGAAAATCGACAACCCGCACATCACGTACACAGCTCGCGTGCCGGTCGACGTTCACGAGTACAACCTCACACACCTCCAGCCCGCCACCGAATACGAGGTTTGCCTCACAGTCTCCAACGTCCACTTACAAACGCACAAGTCTTGCGTCAACGTGACCACCCTGAGCGCCACGTTCGCCCTGGACCTGTCGGACCAGCATCCCAGCGTGGCTGTGCTCTCTGTCATGGCCACCATGCTGGCGTTCATCAGCCTGGCCACCGTTGGCATCTACATGGCTCGCAAGTGGAAGAGAAAAAACTACCACCACTCCCTGAAAAAATACATGCTGAAAACCTCCTCCATCCCCCTCAATGAACTTTACCCCCCCCTCATCAACCTGTGGGAGGTGGAGGGCGAGAAGGAGAAGGATGGTAGCACAGAGGGGAAACCCTCTCCCGTTGACACCACGCGTAGCTATTATATGTGGTGAGGATTTGGTATGGAGGCCCAGCCGCCTCTCCTGCAGCACAAAAAGACACACTTTTGCCATTTGGGTACAAAAGTTGAATAACGTTTCAAAATGTTTTTGTATTAACAGCTTTGCTTCAGAGGCAGAGTGATCAAGGACAGGATTTTTATTAGTATAGCGTATCGCCTTTGTTTGATTCTTTCTATCTTCTAAACATTTTGGACTCTCCAAAATGGCAGCTGTATTTAGCTTCCAGGTTGTTTAGATGCCATGCTTTGTTGCTTGGTGCGTTTTTGCCTCACTTTTCTTTGGGTTATAATCTAGCTAGGGGGGGCTGCTGTCTTTTCGCAGCATTATTTAGTAGTAATCGATGTATCTCGCTCTGTTTTGTAAAACAGGTAATCCATGGTGCGCCGATAGACGACGGGAGTTTGTGGAAACTTCAATAAAAAGCTGACAGAGGGATCTAGACTCGTTATACTGTCTACTGAATGTTAGCAATTGTGCAGTATCGTTGTATCAACTATACATTTGAACCTTCTGATGCTAGTATTTTAGGCACTTTTAGTTTGCTTCTGTACGTGATGTTAATGCTAGGAATACAAAACTTTATATTTTCTTCAGTTTTTTTTTCTACTATGGAGAACTAGAAATGTTTTGACTTTTCCTGCTAATTTTGCTTCTTTTTTTTGCTAATCAGCAAATTTATTTTCTCATTAAATAGAAACACTAAAGTAAGTCCAAATAAATACTTTTTGGTTTTTTTTTTTCAACTTCATGGTCTTTTTTTTCACTGGTCTTATTACACAGTATCTCACTCCTTTAGGCGGAAATGCTAACGCTACAGATGTTTAATGTGGTCGTAGTTACAAATCACTATTTATAGATTTTTGATGAATTAAAAAAAATCAAACAATGTTATCATTCCTATAACAGTTTCACATTTAGTGTAGACAAATGCATAAACTCGGCTTCTAAACGTGGCTGTCAATAGGGAAAAGAGGATGATGTATAAACGGGTTCTACTGCCCTCTGGCGGTAGCTGTGGAATACAACACAAACATTACGGAAATCAACAAATATCCAAAGAAATTAAACATATTGTCAACAAATTGATCTTCATTTAAAAAAAGAAATAAACACTAATAAGAGATGTATAAATTTATTGCCAAACATTATATCAAAAATATCCCTTTACAACAATCTATTCCTTATTTACATTAAGAGTGAACTTACAGTCCATGAGTTTACCATCTTACAGCAGAAAATTGATTCATTAAAAAAACCAAAACAATCCCAACGGGGAAGCACCACTTATGTTAATAAAATCTTTGCTGCTTTACTGCTTTAGCCAAGATGTTTAAATATATGAAAAAGAAAAGAAAATCCCTTTAAATGTTACAGATGTTTTTCTTCCTAAAATCATAGGGAGAACACATCGTGACAGAGAAATAACTACATTCTTTCATGAATTCCCTCCACATCCCACAGTGATGCTGCAGAGCAGATGGTATAAGAAACCCTGAGTTTCCAAGACACGTGTCTCCGTTCACTGCTGTCCCTGAGAGACACATCGGAAACCGAGATTGGAGGCCGAGCTGTCCGGAGTGTTCTGGCTACGGGCCGCACATCGGTACCTGTAGCAGTAAGACTGGAGGAAGGAGGGAGAAAACAGTGACAAAGGTAACTGGAGCACAGGTATAACTTCACCACTAGATGTAGCTAATATCTAATTCTGACACCTTTAACTGTATCAACCTGTTTTGATAAGTGTTTTTTTACTGGTTTTTGTACTTCCCCTAATCACATTAAAGACTTAAAACCAGATCATTAACACAACGACCTTACAGGAGTGAAGTCCTTTACCTTGTGGCACATGTACGATCCTCCCTTCTTCACCTTGTCTGTGCCTGATGGAGGACCTGTCTGATGGAGAGAAGGACGATCATCACAGGGACAAAATCAATCTGGAAATTCTGAAGGCGTGAAGGTCAAGTGTCCTCACTGGGTTGGACTTCCGTTCTGTGGTGTGATGCACAGTCCACCAGTCTGACGTCCATTCCCACGCATTACCCACCATGTCATACAGACCGAAGCCGTTAGGAGGAAATGACATTACCTGCAGAAGAAGAATTACATTTTTGATAACTTATATGCAGAGACACCAAACACTTCTTGTTCTGGTATCAATGACATTAGAAATGTACAAATATTTTTTGAAATATTCACTGGATTTAGCTTCAGCCATCTTGGTTATTGTTTAATACAAACCCAGGTTTCTAAGATCTCAGTCCTGTAACAACTAAATACCTAGTTACATATTTTAGTTCAAGTTTGTAGTAGAGGCAGATGCAGTATTTCATTTTTTTTTTTTTAAACCAAAGTTATTTTGTCTTCAAGGATTGAAAGATGAAATCTGTTTCACAAAACCCCCCGTCCCGTCTGACTCACTGGTGATGTTTTGACAAATCCGTCCTCTCCAGTGTTGTGGTTGGGGAAATCCCCCTGCCACAGGTTGGCGTAGTGTTGTCCTTTTGGGTTCAATTTGTTCCCCCAAGGATAAAGTCTACGAGCAGGGGCCAAACAACAACAGGAACATGATATGGTGATGAGTGCTGAGGAGTTAATGTGCTGCAGAAATGTTGTTCTCTGTGGGAATCAAACCTGTTTTTCAGGCCGCTCCTGCAGGCGTACTCCCACTCTGCCTCCGTTGGGAGCCTCTTGTTGACCCAGGTGCAGTAGGCGACGGCGTCGGCCCAGGACACGTGGACAACGGGGTGGTCCAGTCTAGACAAAAAACAGTGTCAAGGAGATAAAGATGCAACTATGGAATTGTTTTAATTACAATTCTAACAGAGAGAGAGAAACTAAAGGTTAATATCACGATACACTGTAGAGGATTAATGGACTTTTTTGTTTAATTTTTCTGTAAAATTATGGGGGGTCAACATGACAGGCTTCATAAAAAAAGACTGGGTATTGATATAAAAAGAAACAAACTACGAGTGCAGAAAATGAAATTATGGGGGGTCAACATGACAGGCTCCATAATGTATGGAGCATGTCATGCTCATGCAAAGAAACAAACTCGTAGTTTGTTTCTTTGATATAAAAAGAAACAAACTACGAGTGCAGAAAATGTATATCTAAACATGTATGTACATATATTTCGATTCTACACATTTCTAACAATTTTTAATCCACCTTACACATTTACATTAACTTTAACCAGTGCCTGTACCTGTCAGAGATGTTGGAGTCAACGCCCTCAGGATGGCGCCAGTTGGCGCCTTTAACAGGGAACCACCAGGGGGCAGCAGCCACCTATTAACAGACTCATGGTTAATAATTATTGTCATTTTATCGTTCTTACACTACATTTTTGTGGCCTGCCTTGTTGACTGTTGAAACTAACAGTTCCCTGGTATAGCGGTATTTATTCAAACAAAGTATTTATTGTATAAACGCCGCACAAAAGATGAGATCAAGCCGTCATGTGACAGTACCCTGTATCGGACCACAGACCGGAGGCAATATTTTACAAAATTCTACTTGTCATATGTCCATTTTTCAGACCAAACGATGTGCTTCCCTCAAGGCTGATATCTGAGCAAAAACAAAGTCACACAGACATTTGAATGTAAACAACTGGACTATTTATATACACAGTGTTTTCTTGACTTATTTTCCCACATGAAGTTAAACTTTTCAGTCTATTTGGTGGACATCAAACAGAAGTTTTTCCAAATAATTCCACATTCGAACATGCAGTTCTAAATGAAAAGTATCATAGTGAGGATAAAAGCCTGGAACAGAGACAGGAAATGAACTGGTTGTTCATACTTACGGCCTGTGTGACCTGATCTTTGACAGCCTCACTCAGAATTCCTTCAAACACAAAAGAGTCTCCGAACGTCTCTGCCTGAAAGGACACCACAAAATGAGCAAAGCTGACCCCTACTGTACGTGTATATACTCATTTAACTCATATATTCTCTTTACCTCTGTTTTATATCCAGTGGCACTGACAAAGCTTTGGAACTGCCTGTTGGTCACCTCCTGGTTGTCCATATAGAAGGAGTCCACGTGCACCACCCTCTCAGGACTTTCTCCATCGGCAGGAATCCCGGGGTCATCTGTGCCCATGAGGAATTCTCCTCCAGAAATCAGCACCATCTGTACAAGACAAAAAGTGTTGTTTTTTTTTTTTACAAAGGTTGGAATTGTATCTTATACTTTAATCTAAATGTGCAGATACGGCGTGTTAAAAAACTGTATGATCGATGGTTTGATACTGGTAGGAATTAGGGAAACTAAAAAACAAGAAAAAAGATAATACCTTAAGAAACAATGTCAATTACATGTGTCAACTGAACAGTATTTCTATAGTATTAGTTCTAGTATTACTCCCCCTCCTGTTCGGTACTTACATGACTATGTGTCACCTTCTCGTCCCCCTCCGACAGCTTCTCATTGGCCTCTCTGGAGTATTTGACAGCCGGCTCCTCTGAAGCTGCCCCGTGCTCTGTGCCCTCCCCAGGAACCGGAGTCACAGCGGCTCTGTTCAGACTCTCACAGCCACAGCCGGGTGCATTCTGCTCGGCAGCGTGTTTCTGCGCAGTCTCGCCAGAATCCTGGAGACACAGTACTGTAGTCACATACGCGGAGATAAATAATAGTAGTAGTAGTAGTACAAAACTGTGCGCCATTACTGCAGTAAAAGACCTAGGAAGATTCATTCATGTTGTTGACACACACACACTTCCGCGTTTGTCACATGACCAGTCACGTGGCTGCTGACAACGCTTCCTGAACGGAAGGAAACGGGTTGTCTTTTACTAGAAATATTTAACTTAATTAAATTAGCTGTATTTTACACTGCTGACTAAAACATCACTTTAAGTTTGTTTCTAAAAATGATCAACCTTAACCAACCTCTCAATGTTTTCATGTTGAATCTAACTTTTCTTTTGGAAACTCTGCAACTTTAACTCTGTCATTTATGTTTTTTTACACAGTATCAGTTTCTTCAATCTATGGATCATAGCGGGTCTGACTTCCATGATTTGTTGACGTAATCATCATCATCATCATCATCAGCAGCAGCAGCAGCAGCAGCACTGACTCAACCAAGCCTAACAACGACTGACTTGTTTTTTTTTCCTGCTCCACCTACTCCTCATTTTACTGCACAGCTGTTTAACCTCCCTTTTATTCAAATGTCAACCACAAATTTACCTCCACAGCTTTCATTTTTGAAAAAAAAGAAAAAAAACTGGTTTCAATAGCTACTGCTCTCACAGATGAGGTTATAAATGTTGACACACAATTTCTTTTTAATGAAAATATTTACAGTTTCCCCTGACGGTCTACAAACCTGAAAACTGAAAATCCAATTCCTTTTTATTTTTTCTTCAAAAAAAAAAAAGACAAAAATTGATTTAACTGGTCCACAAAACTCCAAACTTAAAATCAACCATTGTCATAATTCCTGTTTTCTTTGCAGTAGTAAAGCCACTAACCTAACTAGTCCTGTACTGCCCTTTCCTCTGAAGCGGTCTAGCGCCCCCTAGTATAGTTGCACCTCACAAGTTTACAGTACTGCTTTACTCTCATGTTTGCGTCATGATGCTTCCTTATTAAATCCTGAACTAAGTCTTTACAGTATATGGAGATCATAACTATAAAAAAACAAAAAAGAGCAATATTTAAATGTTTTGTTAATATTGGCATCATATAAGTATAAATAACATCACAAAAACCCGCCTAAAATAATATTAAATTGTTGTAATAAAAGTAATTTTAATTTTTAAAGCATTTAATGAACATTTGCCATGACTCTTATCCGGACCCCGAACCAGTGTTTGCATTTGACAACTCCGCAGTGGCAGCTCGGGTTTCCTAGGGGGAAGTGGACAGCAGGCAGCACATGGACATCATTTCCCAGCTATCAACGCTGCTGCGACCCCTGGAGTAGAAGAAGGAGAATCAGTGGTGGCACAGATCCAGGCTGTGATCGCACTCACAGTCAGAGCCGCCGCTGCCGCTGCTGCCGCCGCTTCAGTCTGTGATCGCAGCTCCACAGCACGCCGCAGCGGGGAGGAGGAGGAGGAGGAGGAGACGGGGAGCTGTCAGAGAAATCTGGATGAGAGCAGGAGCCGCTGCAGGCATGTTGTCTTAGCGGCTCTTCCGCAGGAAGCTGAAACACCGAACGTTTAGCCGCACAACAAGAGGTAAAGTTGACACAACTTCACCATCCTCTACTCCTTCTCCTCCTCCACCACCATCTCCTCCTCCTCCCCACAATCTCTTTCTCTTTTTTCCCCCTGCTGTTTGCCTTTCGGTCGATATCAACACGTTTGTCCGCTAATCCCTTCAACACGGTGGAAGACAAAAGTGTTCTTAGCTCATGGCGGTTGTTTGTTTGTAAATTATGTTCGGGTGCAAAAAAAAAAAAAACTGTCGCAGGGTGACGCTGACATTTCGTGATTGCGGATCTTCAGCGGCTTACCACCGCGAACTCAAGTTTTATGTGTTTGTTGGAGATAATTAGGGTCGAAGGAAAGAAGACGTCCGTTAATATTCAGGATAGAACCGTCTTTCGTGACCTTTCACGGTCTCCCAGCACCGAGTTAGTTTATGTTTTTTTGTTTTTTTTGTTCCCCCCTCATGATTAATCGACCATAGTGAGAGGTGTTGCTTCAGAAGTAGCAGTGAGGTGAACCTGCAGATTTGCCCACACGGATCATCACCTCAGAGCTTCAGTTTCAGCCACGAGCTTCAACACGAGCATCCCACAGTCACACACACACACACACACACACACACACCAATCCACCCTGTATGCAAATCCTTCACTGGCCACCGTGGGTATAACTGTGCTGTGGAATTACAGTTCGTTTGTACTGCACCCGGTGCCAGTCCGTAGGTAATTTGTTTCCGGGTCGCAGTGGGACACTGAAAAAAAAAATCTACTTCAGTTTTACTAATTTACTTCATTCGTAAAGAATCCAGTCATATCCCTGTACTTTTCCATTTAAATATAATCGGTCAGTGTTTCAAATCAACAGGTCATTCAGACTCTGATACGAACAGAAGAAAGTTGAAAAGATGTTTTATTTCGAAAATTTAATCATCCTTCAATCGGTTTGTAGTAACGGCTGATATTGTTCCTTGGTACAAAAAAGTTTGTGGATTTCTGGTGTAAATATTTAATTTGAGAAGTCTCAACTTTTATAAAGAGTACGTTTTTCAAATGTTGTCAGCAAAATCGCATCTTCTTCCTCTATAAAACATGGTGTTGAATAGTCAAGTCAAAGAATTGAGATGATGTTGGGTTAAGTTTAAGGGGTGATTGTGTTTGGACAATAGGTGTAATTCACAGTAGGATCGTCCAACAGGAGCACAGCTACTTTTGTTGCAGGCTGTGGTTACACAGTGAGGAAGTGGGGAAACACCAGAAGTGCTGTGCCGGTTTATACAGTGTCGTCTAGTTCTATAACATAATCCATGACTTGGCCACATGTCAGCATCAATTACATACATCAACAACAGTGATGGCATCGTTCGTCACTGTGATCTTACTGAATTATTTATCTGTCAATCTGTCAATAAGAAGCAGAGACACCTACAGTTTCTGATTGAACTGATCTTAGAGACAAATAATAAATATAAGTCAGTGTTATCTCCCCACTATCAGCTGCCGCCCCTCACTTTGGAAACCACTGGGTTGCATTTTTGCTGACGTTAAGCATTTGACTCTTCTCTCCTTCAGGGGGAGCTATGATTAAGAATTAGTGTTTAGTCTAAGTCTGACCTGAGTTAATGTTTTGTTTAGAAGAATTAGCAACACATTTAGCGTAAGACATTAGCATTAGCCTGTTGGATGAAGTCATGTACCTTATGACGGACACAGCTGAGTGGTGGATGAGTTTTTACCCAGAGGCAGCCGAACATATGCTGTATTTTTTTAATCAGATTTGCAAATATTTACTTTTGCTTCAAATCATATTAAAAAAAGACTGTAAAGAAGCTAACAGAACAATCAGAGCTCCATTGTTTGGATTGTTTTGTTAGTTTTATGATATGACACCGATGTCTTACCCTCGGCTTCACTCTGGTCGCTACAGAAATCAGGTTGTTTGCTTAAATATTTCTAACGGAGGTTGTTGGGTTACATATCAACCTGTCCTCTGTCAGCACTGTCAGAGATGCCCCCACCTCAAAGATGCCCCGCCACCAAACTGCTGCAGCTGCAGTATGTGTCTGTGTGTGTGTGTGTGTGTGTGGTTGATTGTATTTTGCAAATACAAAAAGAAGCTCAACAGGTCATTGGATGAACAATAGGTGTGTATCAGTGTGTTTGTACTGTAATTAGAGTTGAACACTGTATAAACAGTTGTACAGAACACAGCACTGGCCATGACAAATATAAAAAAAAATGTTTTCCCCCCATTTTATTAAATCTGGTAAAATAAACAGGGCCACTGCGTAGGGTTTAGTGACATCTAGTGGTCTCAGTATATAGAGTATACTAAGAGAAAGTACAACTTGGCTGAGGTCCCATGTGTGAACCCAATATGGCCTCCGCCATCATGTTTAATGGTTAATGAAAAAACAACAATTAACACATGTACATTTAGGTAATTATACTTAATATTCAGTTTCAGTCAATAGAAACTGAATTTATCATAAATAAAAAAAATCTCACAATGTGCTGTTGAAAGTCTTAGTTCTAGTTGTTTTCTCTCTATGTCCGTGTCCGTCTTTCTCTTTTTAAAGAAGCGTTCACACTGCATGAATCATGGGCTGTGATACAGAGCACACTGTGAGCGTTGATCTTTTCACTTCTCTGCCTGTGGCTGCAGGTTTGTCCCTTGTGCGGCGACCATGTCAGATAAGATGTCCAGCTTCCTTCACATCGGGGACATCTGTTCCCTGTACGCAGAGGGATCCACCAACGGCTTCATCAGCACCCTGGGGTAAGTCCGTCCTCCGACCTCTCACATTCATTTACAGAGAAGGAAAATGACACTGTTCTTTAAAACCAACAAACAAACAAAAAAACATGTTTTTTTTAATCTTGTTGGTCTGTAAGTGAATGAATCAGAGTCAGTAGTTCCAGCTGTCAGTAACAGATGTGATGGAGTCGGGAGAGATGAATGGAAGTGTGTTTTTGGAGTGAATTCCTCCCAGAACAAAGCTGTGAAAACAGTGGGACTATAAAGAGGTGCCTTGATAACAGCTGAGCGTGACCTGAGAAGGGACTGGAAAAAGGAAACATATGGGCAGGAAATGTACCATTAATGATAAAGATTTTGTGTATGGGAGTGGGCGGGTGGGGGGGGGGGGGGGGGACG